TGTTGAGCAGACAGCTGAGCAGCAGCTGCTTGGTGTACTCCGCGTTGGCGTTATCGGAGCACGGCTCCATACTCCTGACAACAGACGGAGTTATTGTTACTCAAATGTTTGTTTTGTTATTTCAGTTACGTTTCCATGTTTGAATGAAATTCTTTTGTCTTAAATAAACAAACAGAAGAAGAAATAACTCCAGAAGCTCCACTCTGGACCTCTCTGCAGCCCGGAGCTTCCACACGACTCCAAACACGGATCAAATCCACAGGAAGTCTTAATGAGGACTTTTACTACAGCCTTCATTCTTCTTTCAGTTTAGATGAAAAACATGAGAAACTGTAGGACGTGGCGTTCGCTGTCATGTTACCTGGCGAGCAGCGAGAACAGAACCGGCACCAGCAGCTGGGCTCTCTTCACCTTCTTCTTGTGCTGCAGCAGCTCCAGGATCAGAGTGACTCTCTGCCACGGCACAGCGCCCCCCTCTGGAGCCGCGTCGCTGCTCTCCTGAGGTTTCCTGGACACATGGCAGCGGTTCACAGCGATCACTCATCGTGGACGCGCCACACTTTCAGACTCTGCTTCTGGAAAATTGTGGCTCAACTAAAAGCTGAAATGTTGGAGATCGTCGGGATTCGTCCTGAAACTATCAGAAGGAACTGCGACCTGTTCCAGCTTGAACGTGCTGATCAGGGCCTGCAGCTGCACCGACGTCGAACAGCTGACCGTTTAACTCATTTCTATCAACTTCAGTTCAATAATCATTAAAATGCACGGACGAGAAACAAGACAACAGCGCCACCATCAGACTGAACCCTGAACTACAACATTGTTTTCAAGCAGCTCGTCATCAAAATCTGCAAACGAACAGCAAGCGGTTCATATTGAGTCACGCTGCAGATCAGCTGGTCCGATCACGTGACCTCAGGAACGTTTCAATACCTCTGCGACAGTCGGCTCCGCCGGGTCTGCTGCACCGTCACGCTGACTTTGGGTTTTCCTGGAGGAGCGAGCTCATTGGCCAGCAGCTGACAGTCAACGACGAGCTGAGGCAAACGCAAAGGTCAAAGGTTGAGCGATTCACCCCCAAACAAACGACCGTTTCACTATCACAGAAAAACCCGTTTAAATGTTGAGACGATCTCAGCTCACCGCTTTGAAGACGCTGCTGATGGTGTTGGCCACCGCCGGACTCCTGCTCTCCACCAGCAGGTCAAACATGGCCGACAGCAGCTTCTGCTGCACCGCCTCGTCCGCGAGGGCGGAGAAGAAGGGCTTTGTGACCTGCAGGGACACGTTAAATCATCACCACTCAGACTTTAATCTGGGTT